TACGGTAAATAATCTCTACCACATATTTACTCAATAAAATATTCTACACACAAACCAATAAAATTACTTTACTTTTCAACCACACATTCTCCAAAAAAATACTATTCAAAATTCTATTTTTTCTCCTAAAATGCAGGAACTCAAGTGTAAAATGTTGGTTCCCTAACTTACCATTTAGTTTTAATAAAAAATAATATAAAAATGAGAGAAATAAAATTCCAAAAAGGATCTTCTTTCTTCACGCCTCACACCCAACCCCACCAAATACCATGGTGAACTAGAAAACCAACATGAAAAACCTGTTGAAATCACGAACCAACTTGTTTGCAGATCATTTCTGCTTACTGTTGCAAAAATGCATGAAAGAAAAAGTATTGAAACCTTGTAAACAAATTCATGGATTGATGCTTACCACACGTATTGACATGAATTCTTTATCAATAAGTTCAAGGCTCATTGGTGCATACGCAAGTTGTGGGGACTTAATTTCAGCTAACTGTCTCTTCCGACGAACGGAAAATCCGAATGTATTCGCTTTTAATTGGATGATTTCAGCATTAACTTTTATTGGATTTCATCAGGAAGCCATGTATTACTTTTCTTTACTTGAAGAATCAAGAAAAAATGGCGTGGTTCCAAATAATTACACTTTTTGTGTAGTGTTGAAAGCTTGTGTTGGTTTGCTGGATATAAACAAAGGGAAGGAAGTTCATGGTATGGTTTACAAAATGGGTTTTGAAATGGATATATCTGTGTGTAATGCTTTGATTGATATGCATGGAAAGTGTGGGAACATATTCCATGCGCGTAAAGTGTTTGATAGAATGCCTATGAAAGATGTTGCTTCATGGACATCAATGATTTGTGGGTGTACTAATGTAGGTGATATGAAAGAGTCAGTTGTTTTATTCAAAAGAATGAAATTGGAAGGGTTCGAGCCTAATGATTTCACATGGAACGCAATGATAGCAGGGCATGCTAGGAGTGGGAATTATAATGGCGCGGTTGAGTATTTTTCTATGATGAGTGAAGAAGGATTAGTTCCAGATTTGGTTATTTGGAATGCGATTATTTCGGGTTTTGTTCAAGGTGGAAGGGCTCAGGAAGCTATGGAGTTGTTCCATGATATGTTAATAGCTGGGATTAAGCCTAATCAGGTGACAGTAACGGGGCTTCTCCCTGCGTGCGGGATGATTTGTTCAATAGGTAGGGGGAAAGAGATCCATGGTTTGATATACAGAATGGGGATTTATATCAATGTTTATGTTGCCAGTGCCCTCATTGATATGTACTCAAAATGTGGAAGTGTGAAGGAAGCTTGGAATGTTTTTTACACGACCCCTTCGAGAAATGTGGCATCATGGAATGCTATGATTGGATGTTATAGTAAGCACGGGATGGTTACTTCTGCACTCAAACTCTTTGATAAGATGCAGGTCGAAGAAGTACAAGCAAATGAAGTTACTATGGTTTCTGTTCTTTCAGCTTGTGTCCATGGTGGTCTAGACAAGAAAGGCATGGAAATTTTCTTGACCATGTGGGACTCGTACAGTGTTGAAGCAAATAAAGAGCATTATGCTTGTGTCGTTGATCTCCTTTGCCGGTGTGGTAGGATAGAGGAGGCTTATGATGTTGTTGAACAAATGCCACTGGAAGTAACAGAGTCAGTGGTTGGGGCTTTCTTCAACGGTTGCAAGATCCACGAAAGGAGAGATCTTGCAGAAAAGATGGCTAAATATTTGTCGGTGGACCTGAAAAAACCCGGAGATTTTGTAACAATATCGCATATATATGCTTCCAAAGGAGACTGGGGAGAGGTTCAGAATGTGAGGAAGGTGATGAAGGATAAGAGAGTTTATAAGAAGCCTGGCTCCAGTTGGGTCTAAACGGAGTAGAGATTAGCATAACAAGGACGAGGAAGAGAAGGCAAATATCGTGTTCTTGATTTTGCTACAAGTCTGGGCAATACAATAACAAAGTTTTCGATTGAATCTTCCTTCAGTAGAAAGTTTTTGTCACTTTTCGCCTCTCCTCGACATGCCACCCAAAGGATTACAGGTACTTAATGTTTCGAGTCTTTATTCACTATATTGGGCATTTTAGACCTCTATTTTACCTTGAACCGGTTTACCTTCGACATCTTGGTGACATACAACTACGTTGATTAGAGCTCTTGAGAGTCATGAACCTGTTAAAGAGAAACTGCATCTATAGTCCTTAATCGATACGATAATTTACAGATTAAATCATTCTAGAACTTGGAACACCTTAGATTTCAAAAATTGTGCATAAGGTATCACTTTGAAAAAGTAATAAAGGCTAAACTATTTATATTGATTTGGACATTAAATATTCCATTAATAAAGATAATTTAGAGTAGCAAAATATTGATAATCTAATGTTTTGGGTTGTCCCAAAAGATGGTAACAATAGTGAGGAGGATGATATAATTATTTTTCTTCTTTTGACAGAGACGAAGGGGACTGAAGGTGGCGGGAGGAACGACGTGAGGATTGAAATGGGTGAACATGATGTACAAGCACTTGATCTTCAAAATGTGCCCATACTTTACCAAAAAACTCAAATGTTGTAAGGTCCGTTTTGCCAAGAAAAATTGAGCAGGAACTTCAATCATTTCTATATAGATTTACGATTCAAATCTATAATATATTAAATATCACATTAAGTGAAAACCATTTTTTTAATGATTATNTATCACATTAAGTGAAAACCATTTTTTTAATGATTATGGCCCTACTACAATTCAATTATTTTAATAATACCTTATTTTTCGTTTTTCAATATGTTTTTACTTTACAAACTGTAATAAATACTATAAAATTCTTGTTCATGCATGTATTCTCTGTAATTAATTCTCATTTAATTAACATTCGCATCCATGTCACTATTATTAATTCTCAATTAATGATCATTTACATTCATTTAATTAGAATTTCACATTTAAAAATGCAGTTCATTATTCACGTCCATGTATGTTAATTAGTATCCAGTTTCACTTAATTGAAAATTAAATTATATTCATTTAGTATAAATGATTTAGCATTCATTGTTACATATATATATTCTTTAGTATTAACTATAAATTAATTAATATTCACGTTAATTGATGTATCATAGTTGGGATTTTTTTCATTTGTGCATTTAGTTGTAATTATAATATTATCACTCATGCATTTCACTATTTATGTACGTGTATAATAATTAATATTTTTCGAGAGCTTACATTTCTCTCATATTTAGATCAAAAGAGTAAATGAGTGGTCAAATATTACTTTTACAGCACTAATAAAGTATTTCAGAATAACGTGTAACGCATGCTCGTCTCTTACTAGTAGGAAAAAATGTCTCAAAAACCCATGCTTTACGTAAAATTTAAGGTTGTTTGGTCTCTTTTGCCAACAAAAACTAAACTGAAAATTATAATTACTCACTTTCATTTAACTTTTAGAGTTGTATATACAGTGAACATCTTTTAACATTCAAACAGGACAAATCTCTAAAAGCATCT